CTCCAGCCGCTTGCACCAGCCGCTTGCACCAGCCGCTAGCTCCAGCCGCTTGCACCAGCCGCTTGCACCAGCCGCTAGCTCCAGCCGCTTGCACCAGCCGCTTGCACCAGCCGCTAGCTCCAGCCGCTTGCACCAGCCGCTTGCACCAGCCGCTAGCTCCAGCCGCTTGCACCAGCCGCTTGCACCAGCCGCTAGCTCCAGCCGCTTGCACCAGCCGCTTGCACCAGCCGCTAGCTCCAGCCGCTTGCACCAGCCGCTTGCACCAGCCGCTAGCTCCAGCCGCTTGCACCAGCCGCTTGCACCAGCCGCTAGCTCCAGCCGCTTGCACCAGCCGCTTGCACCAGCCGCTAGCTCCAGCCGCTTGCACCAGCCGCTTGCACCAGCCGCTAGCTCCAGCCGCTTGCACCAGCCGCTTGCACCAGCCGCTAGCTCCAGCCGCTTGCACCAGCCGCTTGCACCAGCCGCTAGCTCCAGCCGCTTGCACCAGCCGCTTGCACCAGCCGCTAGCTCCAGCCGCTTGCACCAGCCGCTTGCACCAGCCGCTAGCTCCAGCCGCTTGCACCAGCCGCTTGCACCAGCCGCTAGCTCCAGCCGCTTGCACCAGCCGCTTGCACCAGCCGCTAGCTCCAGCCGCTTGCACCAGCCGCTTGCACCAGCCGCTAGCTCCAGCCGCTTGCACCAGCCGCTTGCACCAGCCGCTAGCTCCAGCCGCTTGCACCAGCCGCTTGCACCAGCCGCTAGCTCCAGCCGCTTGCACCAGCCGCTTGCACCAGCCGCTAGCTCCAGCCGCTTGCACCAGCCGCTTGCACCAGCCGCTAGCTCCAGCCGCTTGCACCAGCCGCTTGCACCAGCCGCTAGCTCCAGCCGCTTGCACCAGCCGCTTGCACCAGCCGCTAGCTCCAGCCGCTTGCACCAGCCGCTTGCACCAGCCGCTAGCTCCAGCCGCTTGCACCAGCCGCTTGCACCAGCCGCTAGCTCCAGCCGCTTGCACCAGCCGCTTGCACCAGCCGCTAGCTCCAGCCGCTTGCACCAGCCGCTTGCACCAGCCGCTAGCTCCAGCCGCTTGCACCAGCCGCTTGCACCAGCCGCTAGCTCCAGCCGCTTGCACCAGCCGCTTGCACCAGCCGCTAGCTCCAGCCGCTTGCACCAGCCGCTTGCACCAGCCGCT